TTCTCTACGATGACCTGTCCCTAACCTGGCCCTTCAGGTCTTCCAACGGTGCACTCATTGCTGCTGTAACTGGGTCCCTCCCCCTTGCTGCTGGTCCTCCTCCTCTTCTCTTTCCTCCCACCTTTCCCAGCATTAGAGCCTTCTGCAGAGAGCTGGTCTTCACATCGTGCGTCCAAAGTAGGATCATTTGAGCCTGGTCATTGGTGCCATGAGTGAGACCTCTGGGTTGATTTGTTTGATGATCCATTGGTTCTCTTGGCTGTTGAGTCTTCTCCAACACCATAGTTCAAAAGCATCAATACTCTCCCTATCCTGCTTCTTGAAAGTACAGAAACTCCAGAGATGTAGACAAAGTTAAAATATACCAGAAGAAAGGGCTGGCAAATCACTTTTGTATTGTTGCCAAGAAACCTGCTTGGATATGTCCAAATCACTAGTTAAGCTGAGTGGAAGGGAAGGGAGATTATATTATGTATGGAGAGAGCTGCTCACCCCCACCCCCACCCCCAGTGTAACATGTAGCTCATCCTAGAGTTTTCCAGAAATGGATACAACTCACATCATTTTTAGTCCACATGGCTCTAGACCTTATTTGCAGAAGGTGAATCTAGTTTTCTGAAAAGCTCTGCAGAACCTAGGGCCACCTTCCCACCTCGGCGCCTCAGGAATCCAACTTGAAAGAAAAGTTGTCTTTGTGCCAAAGAAAAGCATTCAAAGTAGTTATAAAACAAAAACATGATACTGGAATTAAATTCCATTAAACCATTAAGATGAGGAACACAATTGAAATGTTCTCAGCATCTCCTCTTTCCAATTTCAACTGGTTAACTTGGAGTTAACCCGACCATTCTCGGAAACTTGAGAACCTGATCATTTTGTATGTTACACACCCACTATAAGGTATTCATTGTGGTGTCTTTAGGCACAAGTTATTTGGAGGGTTGTCTATTCTTTTGCATGATTAGGGCATTAACACATCACCTTCTGAAAGAGCCCTCAGGGGTGTTTTTAAAATCAACACAAATTCTCCTTTGGGGGGAATGCAACTTATATTTTGGGCCACCACGTTTGAGTCTTACTTCCTCCCTATTATGAGATTAAGAGGAGGCTTAAATTATCTTATTCCCTAGCCATCTAAGAGTTCTTTATTAAGTTGCTGAGTTTAACTAGTAGATTGTATTTTTATTTTGGAGTTTCATTTTTTTGTAAGCTGCCCAGAGTTCTTTGGACTGGAATGGCAGATACAATTCCCAGGTAAATAGAGATTGATATAGGTAGTTCCCAGTTTAAGAATTTTAAATTTTGATACAGGTAGCCCTGTATACTTTGATACTACTGGTATCAAAAGAATTTGATACCGGTAGTCCCCATTTTAAGAGTTCTGCTCCCAAGGTCTGCCCTTAAGTTGAATTTGTATGTAGGCTGGAACAGCATTAATATATGATACTGTATAAGTAGTACTGTGTAATGAACGTGAACCATTGTGTATTTAACTTGAATTTTGCTACAGTAGCCTTCGTACTCAACTATGGGTTGTCCGTAAACTGGGGCGTTCTTAACTCGGGGACTACCTGTATTATATTGCTCTACGGTGGATTCCCCCCCCCCCTTTTGCACCAAGCAGCTCCTTTTGCTTCTTAAGGATAAAGGATTGAGTTAAACTTGGAAAGTAAGGCTTAACTGATTCTTCAGCACCGTGTTGTATCAGCTACTTACTACTCTGTAGTCCGTGAATTCAGCATTCTTGCCTTTACTGACTTCTTGGGGACCTGATGTATTGGCGAAACACAGTTGATTCACCTTGTGGTGAAATAATTCTCCACTAGGAAAAGTCTCCACTTCTAAGCAGTTATAGAAATCTTGAGTTCCAGATTTTTTTAATACTGTTTCCTCAAGTGCCCTTAGGCTGTAATTTGACTGGTGTAACAGCACAGAGGAAGGATGCATTTAATTGTAGGCATCTCTGGATCTGCTTTTCATCATATCCATGAATGTAGTTGGCCTTATGTTCTGGGTTAATTCATCTGGTATGATCTCAACTCCCAATTACTACAACAGATTGAACCCCTTCTATAAACCTTACCTTCTAAGGGCTGAGGAAAAACATTCTCCTAATAGTCCACTTGCTTGAGTCTTGTGTTTCTTAGTTTTTCACGAGTCGTTTGATGGCAATTTACTAACATCTTGTTCTTAGGATTTTAACTTGGAGGCCTAGTTATGGGTTTTGTGTAGCCCAAGTAGAATAGTGTGCCCAGTTCAGCTTGTTTTTTTTAAGATAGTGACTTGGAAGTAAATGCTGTTGAATGTGATATTGTGCTTTACCTTCATCCCTATTTTATTGAGACCTATCAAACTGGGGGTGGGGGTTGTTTCACCCGCTGCATATTTGCTCAAGAGTAGATGAGCACCTATAGGCCAGCTCTGGGTCAGGGATGCTGAGAGTTGTGGTTTTAACATAACCAGAGAGCAATAAAAGTTGGAGGTGGCTGCCAGGAGTTGAGGCACATCTGCAGGGAGAGCCATCACACTTTTGGAAGACTTTACTCTTCAGCAGAAACAGTGGCTTCTATTTTACACCTTTGTTCCCATATTTTCCTTTAGGAAACCTGTTTTTTTTTTCCTTGATGCATTTGTGGGTAGAAGAGATGTGGAATTTTTAGAGCATGTGATCAGATAAAGACAGATCAGCTTGATCATCAACTAGTTCAGAATTGTTCCACACACAGCAAGTAATGCAGAATGACCAAAAAAGGCCCAGGCTGCAAACATGCTGGAATCTGTTTTTTATGAGGAACAACATATTCTTTGAGCCAAATCAGGATACACAATTGTGGATTTGTATTTATCTTTTTTTCTGCTTCCAAAACAACCACCAAGCCTGGAGCAGCTCCACATTAGCTGGTGGATGAGTTAACTCGTTTGATGCCACAATCTCAGGAAGGTTCAACATGCTTCTCGGTATTTTTCAGCTTTGGATGACTGCCGCAGATAGAATTGCATTATTAACTGTACACTTTAGAGATGAGACTGACAGCCAACCAACCCAATTACAGCAAAAGTAGAGATGCAAGCCAAGGACTTCTTGATCAAAGATACACAGAAGTAGAAGGCGAGCAGATCTTGCTTATGGAGGCTTTAGAGCAATGTTTCTCAACCTTAGCAACTTTAAGATGTATGGACTTCAACTCCCAGAATCCCCCAGCCAGCAGCAGAAACACTGCTTTAGGGCATAGTTCTCTGAGAGGAGTGAGGCCTCTGGAATACTAAATGCTCTCATTTCCACCTTTATTTTTATTCCAAGATTGTGCTGCTGAAAACTCAGGAATTTTGCCAATCTTCAGCAGAACAACTAGAGGGCTTCAAAAGCCACCACTGTTTCCCTTCTCTGTGACTCACAAGGTATGATCTGGCTGCATTATGTGGCTCCAGAAAGGAACTTCTGGACTGCCTTAAGATGACCTTAAGGTCCATTCCATCTTATATTTTAGTCAAGCTGCAAGGAATACCAAGTCTGATTCTGGCCCAAATTGTATACTTTAAAGCTTTGCATGCTATGGAAAGCCAGTGTTTGGGATAAAATTGGCATATCCAAAAAAAAAAAAACAACAAACCCCAAGGATGGCTGGTGAAGTCTGATCACTTCTGCCTGGATTAGCTAATCCGGGCAGTGAGTTTACTGCTGTGCCCATCATCTCAGAATAACAAACTTGTAGATATTACAGTAAGATCTTGATTCCTGCTGATTTGAGAAACTAGTTGATGGGAAGAGACACAATTTCCTCAAGATATGGTGCTTTGCTGACCAATTCTAGCTGAAGATGAAGGAATTCTGACCTAATCAGAGATGAAATCCGTTCTAGCTTCTCTAGGAGACAACTTCTTCATTCTTGTTGTCTCTTAGCACCTCTTGATAAGTCTGTGTAATATTAATTTGTTCTGATATGAAAGCGAAAGGCAAGTCTCTTGGTACGCTGAGATGTGTTTCCCAGCTCTAGGAAAACTTGTCCATAGTAAGGAGCATGGTGGTATAACCCAGACTACTCATGTGGTGTACTCTCGCTTATGAACTACACACATTTAGACTAGGAAAAATCTTGGAAAATTACAGCCTC